CAGTAAAGGTATGTATATATCATTAATTATATGCTTAATAATATTATGAAGAAAGAAGAATCTAAAAATTTAATCTAAGAAGCCTTTAAACAATATTTGATCTTTTTAGCTATATTGTCAAGTATAATTAACACGGACATAGAAAATAAAATCCCAGATGTCGATAGTATACAAGCAACAAGTGTTCCAAAATCATTCTCTTTAAATGTGACACCAATTACTGTTAGTAAAATATCTGATGTTACTGAAATACCTGATTTTCTTACAACACATAAAAAACAATGTGCATATAAAACAAATAATAAAAGAATAATAAAAAAAAATTTGCCAAAAATAACAGGAAATCATATCTTACCAAAAGGTATGATAAAATTTGTGAAAGGAAACACGAATGACGAAAATTTACAGAGTAATATTTTTAATGATTCTAATAACAGTACAAAGCAAGTTTCTTATATTAATGATACATTTAAATCCACAGAGAAAAACTATCATACACCTGAAATAGATAAATCAATTGATATATCAGAAATATCAGAATCTACATCGGTATTTAATAATAACATTAATTTAAAAAATAAAAGTATAGATAACAATGAATATCATAGTTCAAAAATTAATAAGAACGTAGATTCTTTGAAAATAAAAAATAACGTACATAATAATATTAATGATGCTGACAATATAACAACAGAAATATATGAAAACTGCATTTGGAATCGCCAAAAGCAATTGAATAGATTAAATAATAGAGAAAAGCATGAGAATAATATTTTACAAAGTGATAAAAATTGTAAGAAAATTAGTTCCGATGAAAATATTTTAAACAAGAACACTTCAAATCTTGTTGATGTAAATGAAAACTGTAATGCTAAATCATTAGTATTGGTTAACAAAAAAGAAGCTATAAAACAGAATCGAAAGCGTATTGCAGCAGAAGAAAATACTATAAAGTTGAACAACAAAAAAAAGAAATTAAATAGAACCCTTTGGTTGCAAAATAATGTAACACATATTAAATTATTAAATCCTCAAGAATTTGACTTTCCAAATATCAATACAGCAGCAGAATCAAATATATCCGAAGAAAATATTCCCATACAAAAACTAGATGTACGTGAACATTTAAATAAAAAACGATCAAAATCTCCCAAACTATTTGAAAATAAGTTTAATAATAAAACTAGTATAGAGTTTGAGCAAATAGACTTAAATAATAAAAATGACATAATTATTCCAACAATGAAAAATGAGAAATTTTACAAAAAACTTTCTTTCGAAAAAGAACCCACTTTTAATAAAACTTTGTGTAAAGAAATAGATATCCAAACAGATTCAATTTGCAGCAATCGTATGCATAGCATGTTACAAAGTACATCAGAAAAAACGCAACATTTAAATCAAATAGATAGAAGTATTCATGAAAATATCAATATACAGAAGGAACATATGAACAGCGGAAATGAAGATAATGATGATTGCATTTCTCTATTTGCAGAATCATTTGATACAAATCTGTAAGTATAAATTAGAAAAATCTAACGAAATTTAATTTTATAATATTAAAGAAATTTTTAAACATTTATAAAATATTTACAATTTAGATGGATATATTTTATAATTTTTAATGTAACAAATCAATGTATTCTACAAATTATGATTAAAAATTTAATCAATAATTAAAAATTTAATTGTTCTTCTAGCTGTGAAAATACAATTTTATGTGAACAAGATAAATTAAGCAAATCTCTACATTCTGATGTATCATATATCATGACTGCTAGCAGTTTTAATAAATATATAAAACAAAATGTAACAGAATTTAATAAGGAGTATGCTAAATGTGTAGAAGACAATATAGAAACATCAAATAAAACTAATAAAACTGATAAAAATGAATTCAATAATCAATCCGAACAAATTACACATACAGATTGTATATCTGAAACTAGAACTACATCAAAAGTAACAGCATTTGAAACTAAAAACATGAAAATATCAAAATGCCAAGGATTAGCAAAAATTAATCTTAAGAACTTCCTCAATGGATACTGTTTTTCGATATTAAGGAAAGGTACCTGTTACAAGCAACAGCTTTGTAAATTCAAGCATGAGGTAATATTTATTCATTATTTTGCTTTCTTTAACTTCTATATAATTATTTGTATATCTTGATATAAAATTACATTTCTAGTTGCAGAATCTTCTTAATACAGTTTGTTCAGAAGACCCGACAGCGATGCTAAATATAATGCAAAATGCATTTTATCTTGGCTATAATTTTTTTTGCAGAACGATATATGTAATATCAATACAAAAATTAACTGTTGATCAGATCTTAACAATTTACAAAATATTTCATGATAATCATGTAAAAGAAGAAATGACACTTTCATCAAAGAGATATATTATTCAGAATATTATTAAAGAACTGTTAAACCGGCAACTTTCGTTAAAAGCTATCGTGAATCATTTGGTAGAATATATACCCATTAACGATTCAAATAATCTTATGAACATTTTAGAATGTATTGAAAAATATATCAAACGTGGTGAATATTGGAATACTGTAAGAACTTTAGTCTTGAGATTGCCACCGGATAAACATATTATCGAAAAAATATTATATGATTGCATAGAGAATAAAAAATTATTTGATGTTCAAGATATTAACAACAATTTAATAAGTAAACTTCTTCCTAAGTTAATATCAATATTGGATAAAAACATATTAGAACGCTTTAAAAGTATATTGACTGCAAATAATTTTCATTCTACGGTTCAGAATTTTGGAGAAAGCTTACCCGAAACTATTGCTTCTCCCGATGGAAGTATAAGTTTATCGCAAGAATCTCCAAGACGTGATAATACTTTTGTAGATAAAAATAAGGATTATGTAAATATCGAAATGAATGGAGAAAATTATATCATGCAACCTATCGGTAATTATTTATTGTTAACTATGTGAATTATGAGAAAAAAGAGTAATTGTGCGTGTTGTATATTTGCATGCATGCATATGCGTACACATCCATCGAAAAGTTTTCGGACATGGAACTTAAAATTGCATAATATTCAGGTCATCGTAACTCGGTAAAAAATCATCGCAGACAAAAAAATAAAAAAGCATTTTAAAACTTGAAACTTATACTTTTAGCATGTTTTCCACTCCTTTTCAAAAAAAAAATTTTGTCTACAGTTCTGTATCTCAACAAATATCACGTTGTATTTTTTAAGATTACATTTAACGTGCATTTAACAGTGCGCAATCTAATAAAACTTTTTTTTTAAAGTTTAATATTTTTGAAATAGTACAAAGATTTACCTCCAAAATGCTTTTGAAAAATTTTCTTATGCTTTTTCTTGACTGATTTACGCGTTATCAAAGCTAACATAGCTCACAACCAACATTAAAAGTTGGTGAAATACCATCGTAAAAAATTAAAGAAACATTTTGAACCTCGAACTTTTTGTATTTTAACAAGCTTCTAATCGTTTTTAAATTTAATTCTACAGAATTGACATGGTAAATTGACAGAATTGAGATGGTAAAAAAATTTTGTGATTTTTTAAATCAAATTTTACTTTTGATTATTTAGCAATGCAGGTTTAGCTTCAATGTTACTGTTAATTTAGTCAAGAGAAATCAAAAATTTTTTTTAAAGTATTTTGGAGGTAAATCTTTATTTTTCAAAAATATTGAACTTTTTGAAAAAAGCTTATGCAAACTGTTAAATGCACGTAATTTAAAAAAATACAACAATGTAATATTTAAGATACATAACTGTAAAAACAATTTGTTTGAAAAGCAATTAAAAGCATGCTAAAGTTTCTTAAAAGCATGCTAAAATTTTTAAGTTTTAAAATGCTTTTTTATTTTTTATCTGCGATGATTTTTTTAACCGAGTTACGACTTGAATATTATGCAATTTTAAGTTTCATGGTCGGAAATTTTTCGACGATAGTGAACATTTTTTATAATGTCTAAAACACATTGTATGTATGTATGTGTGTGTGTGTGTGTGTGTGTGTGTGTGTGTGTGTGTGTGTGTGTGTGTGTGTGGTGTGTGTGTGTGTGTATATATGTATATATATATATTTTTTTTTGTAGATGATTTACCCGATGCACAATCCGTTTATAAAGATCATGAACATCTCTGGAAATTTTATGTGGATTTAGATCGATTTAAAAAGGGACTTTTACACCATGATTATGATTACGTTATTGATATTTTTAAAAATTACACAGAAAAAAAACAAGATGAAAATCCATTATTTGTTCACTCTTGTTGTAATATACTTCGTACAGAGGTAAAACGTTCAAAATATCACTTAAAAAACATCATATGTCGCACAGGTAATAAATATTTTAATAATAAATAAAATACTTAAAAGCTATTAGCTGAAAAATATAAGTTGTATTATAATATATACCATATGTACAATCTTTCTTTACTGACATCGTTTTCCCTTTATTATTCATTTTTGATATTGATGATCAAGTAGTCACAATATGAAGATTTCTATATCTACGAACTGTTATTGCTATGTATATACAGCAAAATACAATTTATATATGAATTATACGTAATATATTGCACATAATATATATCGTAGATTTTAGTATCAAGAATTATATATGACGAAAGATAAAGAAGAAATAATTTTATATCATAACAACCAAAACTTTCTACATATTTTTTTACTTAATGAATTCTAAAATATTTTTTCATTTAATGTATAAATTATAAAAGAATATTCTTTATTAAATAACGTACGTTAAATAACGTTATTGAATAACGTACGATGTATGTATTGCATATATTTTATGTATCACATGTAATATAATAAAATAAATAAAATAATAAACTTTAGACTACAAACTTTATTTATAATCTTACCTAATTCACACATTTTTGGATTTTTCAGTCCAAATGGATATCTTCGATATTTTAGGTAAAATCTCATTTGACATAAGATTAAACATTTTAATCAATTTAATGGACAACGAAGCCTGGGGGCTTGCATTAGATTTGATTCAAACACTTAATATACACAATTTACAATATAATGCCGAATATTTCTTGCTATCGGCCGAGATTTACTTGGCTAACAAAAAGATAGTAAAAGCATATGATTTACTTAAATGTGAGTTTATTTTACAGAGATCAATTTTTTTTTAATTTTAACGTAATAGTACGTTAACGTAATAAAAATAGTAACATTGTTATAAAAAATATTGATAATGAGTACAAAAACATTAATAAATATTTTAAATATAAAATTCTTTAACAGTAAAAAATACATAACTTATTTCTAACATTAATTCATTATCTATTATAAAAAATCGACATGAAATACATTTCAAATTATCTTTTTTTTCTTTTATTGT